GAGGGGCTCTGCTGGAATTTGGCAGCGCGGAGGCTTGGAGAGCAGCCCCATGCTGGCTCCCATTCAGCAGGCCAGTTTTCCTCGAGCTTTGGAAGTTTCGCTCAGCCGTGCACTCAATGGCTTCACAAAGCTGATTACAAGCTTCAGCGCGTTCCTGAAGGAGCCAAAAGCGACGCAGGTGCAAACGAGCCGAGGGAGCCCCTTATCCCGGTGACAGAATGGGACAAGCTGGGAAAGGCTTGGACCACACAAATCCAAGCTCACCAGGCAGCAGAAAGCCTGCCTTGGGAACCGGGGGTCATTATCCGCCCTATTCAGCGGGGCCCAGGGACCCTGGGGGCCCGGAGGCCGGCCCGCGCGGGAGCGCCAGCCCGCCTGCGGCAGTGGGGTCCCCGTCGGGGCCTGAGGCTGGGTCGGCGCGCTGGGCGGAGGGCTGGTGCGTTTGCATGCACGGCGTCAGCAAAACCTGTTCTCCGACGTGCCCGCGTCTACACCAGGACGGACGCGGGGGAAAAAGCGCGCAGGAGGCAACCTTCTGTTCGTCCCGCGTCCAGAGCGCGCTGCCCCGTCTCTGCCCCAGCCTGGCGCTGCGGGTCCCCGCCTCCCCCAGGCCACTGACACTCAGCTGCAAGGGTCACTCTGCGCCCTTTCTCTCCCAGCCCCACTTTCCCATCAGTCCTGCTGGCCACGGGGTCCCGCCGAGGGCGGCCACCGCAGTGCGGTGGGAGGGACAGTGCAGGGGAGGGGCAGGTCACAGGGTCGCCCCTTCCAAGAGCTCTCGGCTCGGCTGCGGAGGACTTTGCAGCGAGTCTGACTCCGCGGCTGGGAGGAGGGCCCGGCCCCTCTGGCCCCTCTGGGAGAACGACGGACGTCCCCTGCTCGCGCTCAAGGACCAAGGGCGCGGGACGGCGGGGCGGGGGGAGGGGGGACGCGGGCCCAGGACGGGGTCGAGGCGGGCGGGCTGGCACGCGGGCGTCCCCCGGGGGCCGCCACCAGCCCGCGTCAGGCGCTGGGCAGTGAGTCCGGGCGAGCGCTGCACTAGCGTTCCTGAGTGGGGCCCGCGCCCGGTGCGCGCCCCCTCGCCCCGCGCCCTGCCCGCCGCGCGCTGGGCCTTGCTGCGCCCGGGGGTCCCCGCGGGCAGGGCCCGGGCAGGGCGCTCGCGCCGACGCTCTTTTGTCTGATAACTAATTTGAGTTAATGCGATCTTTATGTAAAGCTAACAGCGGATAATTGTCTATTTTCTCGCCAACAATCTCCATCACAATCACTTATCTGGAAACCTGCGGCTGGATTAATCGTTATATTCCCGAGATGAGCGTCGCGGCAATCCGCAGCGAACGCCGGCGGGGACAGGGAAAGGCCTCCCCCGCGCTGGCGGGCCGGGTGCGGGCCATCCCGGCCACTGCCTGCAACGTGGCGCGCCCGGTGTTGGTGCCCACGGGCGGGCAGCAGAGCGCCTTCTGTGGGACTTGCTTTTACTCGGGTGGGTTGCAGGCAGGGGTGCAGGAGGCGGAGGGAGGGAGGGAGGGAGCGAGGGAGGAGGAGGAGGAGGTCCCGTGGAGGTGCGAGGCGGGGCGCAGCCGGGGTCTAGGTGGGCCTGCGCCCCATGACGCGGCCTCCAGGTCCACGCGGGGAAGGAGTTGTCAGCGCCAGGATCAAGTCTTCTAATGTGGGAGAAAGCATGCCGCCATCCTTATTTTCTGCAGAGAAGATTCTCCCTCCCTTCGTGTGGGTCGCTGGGCTTCATGTCCTGCCCCAGCCGCTGGTTTCCGCCTTAGGTCCCTCCTCCAGGATCCCCATATCTGTAGATTATTGGCAATATGTACACTCCCGTGATTGACATCCCCAAGGAGAGGGCCTGGGGTGTGCAGGCACGTCCCAGGGCCTGCAGTCCCCGCCCTGCTCCTGTGCTGGGGTGAAATACCTCCGCAGATGGAGTGGAGGCCTCTGGGGGAAAGGCGCTTGCATGACAAAGATTTTGTCTTTGGAGCCCAAGTCAGAACATCAGTGTGTAATGAAATCTGGGTTGCGGATCTCTGTGCGTGTGGCTCGCTGTGTGCCCCGAAGGGTGAGCCTGGCTTGGGAAGCCGAGTGCCCTGTGTCTGGTGACTTGGAAGTGAACCCATTCTATTCAACTCAGATTTGCCAGCCAAGGGAGCGCCATTGCCACTTTCCAAAATGGTGTTTTTGGAAAAGAGAAACTCGGTCTCGATTTGTGATGGGTTTTGGCCTCATAGAAGGAAACTATTTGTTTTCCTTTTGGCAGACTCAGAATTCTAAGAGCAAAGGCATACACTGAAATAAAGTGCCATAAAATTATTGGAATTTTAAATAAAGGAGGACCCCAAATTACCCCCCAAAGAGGGCGTTGTAAAGTCCTGTTACAATCCGTAAGTCTTCAATTTTCCCCTCCAGCAACTTGATGAGGTCTCCTAAGGCAAACAAGTAAATCCACCCTCGAGCCGGTGAGCCCGGCCCCTACGAGTTTCCCAGGGCGGCTTTTCGTGGCGGCTTTCGGGAATCACCCCACTGCATCTCTCACCTGAATCTTGTCATCCCGCCATCTTGAAGTGATCTGTGAACAATGCTGATCCCTGCGACAGACCCGCTGGTCAATCAGGCAGAACAGACTATGCAGATGGAGTGGAGAGGCGAAGCGCCGGGAACACTGGCGCCCATTGTCTTGGGCATTTCAAAGCGCGGAGCAGCTGTGCAGACTTGTCGCCCTGGACCCTCGCTTGCCACACTAATGTCACATCGCAAAACATCAGATTTTGAACACTATTCAATCCGAATTCATTAGCAGCCTTCTCGGCAAAGGTCTCTCTTCTCCGTGACAAGTTTCAAACTCCAGATCCCCTCCTGGCCAGAGGGGAAGGAGGGGGCCTGCAAGTGACAACCACTGATGATCCATAGTTTCCTCTTTCTGGTGAATTCGAAAACTCTAACACCGTCCTTGGGGTCCGGAGCTTGGATGTCTGACTCAAGTGACTCTGAGATTTCAGGGTTTTTGCATTTTCAAAGTGTTGTTTGCAAGTTTAAATCACTGACAGCAGCCAGCATAGCAGGTGGAGTTCGTCTAACAAAGACACAGTCTTCTGCTCTCGGGCTAGGGCAGTGAGTTCTTGAAGTTTTTTCTTTAGACTGAACTCGGAACAACACGTTAGAGCAGTTGCGCCCCAAACAAACAAGTTGGTAACGCAAGGCAAGCAGACCGCTCACCATCTTTGAGCGGCACCCAGCCATGCACCCCGGGCCGCAGGAACTGCCACTCCCCGTGGCTACGGCCACCGTGCGCCCCCACACCCCCTTCCAGGGTGGCCTCGTTTTTTCCAGAACCGTGGGGCAGGAGGACAGGATGTGCGGGCCGCTGCGGTCCACCGCATCCCCAGCCTCCCCGCGGCCAGGTCCCAGGGACACAGAGGCTCGGCGGACCAGAGAGGCCTGGGCGCCAGCGAAGGCAGCTTTCCTCCTCCAACACCCGACCTGTGTGCACGTGTCCTTCCTCTGCCCCTTTACCCAGGAATCTGTGTGGATCCCAGAAGGCAGTCAACATGGGGAGGGGCTCCCCAGCCCCGGAGCGAGAAGCAGACTTGGAAGCTGATGGCGCCCCCAGAAGGTCTTCCCGGGGTGCCCAGAGGCTCCTTGGGGCACCTGGAAACCCCTCCCGGTGACTCTAGTTTCTTGACAAACTGAGGGGGTAGGATTTGGAAGGGGTGCAACCAAATAATGTGTTTATAAACACAAGGAGAACGGGGAGCTAAGTGGAGAGGAGGCTCCACTGGGTGTGTCCTGTTTGTTTGGGGCTGGGGGGCAGGGTGCAGGAGAGATGGGCCCCCGGCCGTAGTAGTCTCTGGTTCAATGTGGACGCCTTTGGGGAGGTGACCTGGAACACTCCTTTTTCTCCCGGGAGAACTGTAGGATTTGGGCCTGGACCCTGTGGTTGCTCTTGAAAGTCTCTGCGTGTCTGCCCGTGTCTTCCCGCATCTTCCTGCATCCCTGGGCCCAAAACCTCTCCCACAAGGTCCACAATGGCCGGGCGGAGCCAGAAGCCACGGCCCGTTGTGGGGAGATCGTGCCGTGGTGCCCAGGATGATGTGAGTGTCTCTCCAGGGTGTAGACGGCGTCTGGGTCATTGGGGATGTCCAAACTATGTTTGTTGAAGGCCTGAAGAGGCTGTGGCCATGGGTAGAGCTGATGGCCCAGGAAGGTTGCGGTGGCCCCGTGGGTGTCTTCCTGGCAGAGGCCGCTCCAGGGTGGCCGGGCGCCGAACCCCGGGCTGTGAGCCTGGACTCGCCCTTGCCTCCCTCCCCTTCTCAACACGTTCACACCCGCCACACACACCTTACACACTCGTGGCCCCACCCAGCGCACAGTGAACGCTCACCTTCACACCAACACCCAGAGGTTGTCTTGCCTGCAGACACGCGTGCTACGCAGAGACACAGGCGTGAGGTCTGCGCATTCCCACACACGCCGCTCGCCTGGGGTCCTGCCGTGCTGGGGGCGCGGTGCGGCTGGTGACCCCCGGCTCCTGTTAGGTACACACCCGGGATGCGCGAGCTGATCCCTACAGAACTCAACACGGCAGCAAAGGGATGCCCGTGAGGACAAGGGGGGCTTGTTCCCCGACCCCTTCCTTCTGAGCTTTCCAAGCAGACCCTCCGAGCTTGTTTCCCGTGCTTCCCCGTGTGTTCTTTCTCCCAGGATATTCTCCCAGGCTGCCCACTCACACTCCCGTGACCCGGTTTGGGGGCCACTGGCCATGGGTGGCCCTAGAGCATTTGGAAGCGGCCAGGCCACGTGGAGATGTGCAGGGAGTGGCCGGACCCGCCAGCTTTTGAAGGTGTTGGGGGAAAGATAGCCCATGCAGTACCTCACGGGTCGTTGGAACATCTCGATTTCACGTTGAAATGATTGTATTGTGGATGTAGGGGGTAAAATAAAATACATCTTTGAAGTTAATTTCACTTGCTTCTTCTACTTTTTAAAAAATGTAGCTGTTGGGGCATTTCAAGTGACCCATGCGGCCCCCACTCGTGGCTTGCATCATCTCCGACGTTCCCCGCGCCTTCAGGAAAAGGAAGAGGAAAAACAAACATGGAGGGAAACGCTGAGCACATGGTTGGCGGGAGGCAAAGCAGAACCTGCCATGTTGCAGTTGATTTTGTAAGATAATATACTATTAAGGCTGCTTTTCTTGGGCGAGAATGAGTGGTGGGGGTGGGGTGGCAGCATGCACTGTATTGTATTGCTTAATTCATTTTCTTTCCATTTTAACTTTAATTCTGCCTAATTGCTGTATTGTGATCTCAGTCAGCAATCTTAAATGAACTCACAAGTAACTTTTGAAGAATCTGGCTACAAATGTTGGTCTTGATGAAATGTAAATCACGGCAGGTTACTGTGGAATGTCCACCCGGGGCTGAAGCAACCCTTTCCTGTCATTTTCAAATTTCAGGTCAGCGTTTGGGTACTTTTCTGCTGTCCCTCTTCCCTTGCGAGGTGTTACCGCCAAGGTCCGCCACGCCACTGCGGCCTGAACGAAAAAACAAACAGGAGACTTGAGCAAGAATTCACAGCCCCTGAAAATGCTTTCTACTAAGCAAGAATGCAATTCCTTCCAGATTCATTTATTCCTGTGATTGACTCACAGCTTTGAAAATCTGTGGAGTCATACCTGGGTCAAAAAGATTACAATAAAACATATTTGCAAAGATGTTTTATTTTAAATAAAATATTTTTAAATGGTCTACATTAACATTTTAGAGACAAGATTTTTAGAAGTAAAGTTACAAAACTTGGAAATGATATTTCATCCTTTGATGATAGCAAGAAAGAAGACATTGTGCCGAGAACGTTGTTTATAGTAAATTCAGTATAACCATAACACGAAAATTCTACATGCATACACACTTGATACGCACATATTGTATTTTTACTTATTTACTTTTGGAGTATTATATACTTAATGAAGAATCAATTCAGCACAAATGTGAGGTGAGTCTACTTTGCCAATAAATTGGAAGTAGCTCATAAACAATTTTGGGTAAAATTTAAAGATTAGTTTTATCATAAAAGGAACTCTCCTGTGGCTCATTGTTAGTATGTCCATTAATGTTCTATTTTTTGGCTAAATTAAATTTAACTAAGGGAAAAAGAAAATGTAGAGTACCGAGAACAATCAAGATTTTATGGGTAAGCTAATTGAAATGGTTTATTCTTTGGAAAATGATGATATTTATTCCTTGGAAAATACCACTCTTGTTATTTGAGGCTTGTGTTCAATTAATAAGAAACTAACAGAAATAATTACTTAATCTGACTGCCTGTTTTTGAAGGAGTTTCCAGGGAAATAACTAGAACTGTAGCATGTGTCTTGCTGAGGAGCCCCCGACCTCCCGCTGGACACTCCGGAGACCTCACTTGGGACGCGCAGGTTGGCCCATGTGTTGGTGTGACAGGTGGTTTATTTCCAGGATAATTCACGTTTGCTGTCACTGAACTTACTGGAATAACCATCAGAAGCAAATTGTAAGAATCTAACCACTTGCTGTCAACTCCACACCTCTACTTTCCTGGGATCATCTCGGAGTAAAAGAACCAAACGTGACTGACAAGCATTGAGGAGAGAAGTCCGGGCACATGGCAGTGTGAAGATCCTACATGCTTTCAAAGTTCCTGGCTAACTTGTTCTTCTGCTTCCTTAATATGCGAATTGCGTGGCCTCATTTGCTCCATCATATTATAAAACTAGAGGGACTCTCATTCACTTTCCTGTCTTTCTTTCCCCCCTAAAGACGATAATGGTTATACACTTGCAAATATTTGCAGACAAGATATTCTGGATAAATAATCTAAGATTAGCTAAATTAGGTCAATGTCCATACTGGGCCAGTGAGATATGGCCCTTGTGTTCAGATTATCTGGTGTCAGCTACATTGATTGAAAAAGCACCACCGACCAAAAAAAAAAAAGTCTTATTACAAGATGTCTCAAAAACAGATAAGAAAGCAACGAAGCCCTCTCGTAAATGAGGGAGCTTATCTAGATTTTAATATGGTGGTAAGCAAATTGTACATGTTTCTGCAAGTTAGACAACTTATATGGGAAGCGGGCATTTCTCAAGTTTCTGTGATTCTAAGCCCATCACTATAGTTTGCATATCCGTCCATGGCTCATGGGGTCTTTGTTCTTTTCTTCAAAATACGTTCCATAGAAAGGCTGAAATATTATCAAATTCGGGGCACATTGTCTGGACTGTTTAACTCCTTCTAGGACGGACAAGAGGCTGGTGATGCCGAGTACTTCTGTGTAAGGGCCCTTCCCGCTTATCTGTTTATTTTTGATACCTAACTTCAGGCACTGTTTCTCTCTGAAAAAGCTAATAATACTGATGAGATTCCTTGTAAATAGGACCGAAATGAGCACTGGAAAAGAAAGTCCGTGAGCCTTTCCTACAGAGACCACGCTGCTGGAGTCAGGACCCTCTGCAGGTGATTCTCCCCAGCTGCAGTCCTGGGGGAGGGGAGAGCATGCCCCGCCCCCTTACCCATCCTCCCCATGAACCTTCTCTTACCAAAGCTTATGTAATTGTTCCTCCTGTTGCCATTATAATTCATTTACAATCACAAAAGAGATTTAAGAAGTTGATAATTTGCTCTAATAGAACGGCTATTGGTAAATGTATTTCAAGAACACACACAGACCAGTCTGACAACTAGGGATGCCATCCCCTTTAAAAATCACTATTATTTAGACCATATTTCTGTGTGGCAATAACTATGGTAGACTTTATCTTCAGGTTTAAACTGCATTTCGAATGTAAACCTACTGGCTCAGGCAGGCAATAAATTGTAATGAAATAAAACCAAGAGGAAAACCGGACAGCCCGAAGCTGAACATTTGTGACCACACTTGGCTTGGACAGCGAGCACTTCGTAGAGGAGCCCTGACCGCTCCCGGACACTCGTGGCCGAGCTGCGGGTGGATATGCACTTGGGGAAAACAGCTGCTAAAACAAAAATAGAAAAGCAAAATAAATCAGAGTTTGAGGTCTGGAATAAAGAATGTTTTTTCATTTAAAATACTACATTTTACATGAGGACGAGGGCTGATTACTGCCCAGCTCTGCTCACGGGTCCGGTCTGGGCAGGCTGACCCCCCCAGCCCCCACGGGTGCCCTCAGCGCAGCAGCTGAGCTCCGGCCACCGGCGTGCGGCTACCACGCCTATTTGGGCAGGGGCGCCAACGTCATGGGCATGGGTGCGCGGATGGGAGTCCGCAAGGCCACCCCCTGGTGCCTAACGCTTCACCCCCTTCCCCAGGTCCCAGAAACTCGCATTGCCCCGTAATGATTTGACTTGAGAGTTTTGAGGGCTGATTCACAATACACCTGGTGTTCAAAGCACAGACACACTTCCCGCTGAAGGGTTTGCTGGCCCTTTGGCACTTCATTTGGTTTGACCTTTCCGAAGCTTTCTGGCTCTTCTGCGTCTGGACCCCATGTGCACCAACACCAGGGTTTGTGCCTGAGGAGCAGGAGCGGAGCCCTGAGCCCTCCTCCACACCCCTCAGCTCTTCTGGCGAAGCCCCTTTCTGCGCTGAGAGCGGTAGTCCCCTCCCTCTGCTGCCCCAGACAATGCACGTTCTGCAGCAGCAGGTGGGTGGAGGAGCACCCTTTCCATTCAGGAGCCAAGCTCCCGTGTGCAGCTCCTTCCTGAGCTGATCTGAGCAGACCCAGGGCTTATGGCTTTTAAAAGCTGCTATTTCATGTGCTTCTCTCTCAAGGAGGAAAGATGGAGCAAATGGAGGAAGCTCTGGCCAAGCTCATCCCGTGAGAGCATCTTCCTGCAGACCTGTAGCATCATCTTTTATTTCTAACCTGTAAATGTGAACAGATCCCGTCACTGGGGTTTATTCATATACTGCAACAGTAACTTTTATTTTTTTCCATAAGAAGGTAGAAGACCATAGGGTCAGAGTTCAATTTAATGGGTATTTGTTAGGTATCTATTATATTCATGGTACTTTGCAAAGTACGGCACACAAAACTCAAAAAGATCCTGGTTATGATCCACACTCAAAAGAAATTCTCAAAAAAAGAAAAAAAATTCTGAACCGCGTGGGGATGAGAACAAACGCCTGAACGCTGCGCAGTCTGGCGATGCAGTGGCCGGTCACCCACACCGTGGGCAGTGGGCATCTGCTTCTGGCGAGGTCACAGATGGCGTCCAGAGACTTCAGTCTTGAAGAAAGAGGACGGAAGGGAAGGGCCTTCCAGGCAGGGAACAGCATTGACAAAGTGCAGAGTCAAAAATGAAAGTCACCGTGAGGGAAACGCAAGCCACCTGTGAAATGGGGCCGGGCGGGGGGCGATGTTTACAGGAAGGAATGCCTTAATCATTCTGGGGGAAGGAAGGCTGGGAGCTGAGCAGTCAGGGAAAGCTCCCAGAGGGAGATGGCATTTGCCCGGGGCTGCTTCTGGAAAGTCTGAGTGGAAGGTAGCGTCTCGGGCAGAGGGAGCACGATGGGAGGGGAGGGGGGGCTGCAGGATAGTTGGGGTGGGGACCCCCCTGAGTTTGGTTGGAACAGAAGGCTTCGACCATGTGAAGAGGGTGATGATGCTGGGGAGAGGTCTGGTCAGGCAGGGAGACCTTGACCCAACTACATAAGTGTAGTCTATGAAACTGCACGGTTCTCTGGGCAACAGGGACCTGGAGAGTGGTTCTGAGCAGATGCGAGATTGCCAGTTCTGGGTGTGTGGCTGAGTCCGGGGTATCTCCCTGCTGGGGCCGTTGTAAACAGTGTGGCTTGCTCCTTGGTCCCTGAGAATTGTCCTTGACAAGAATCTGAGAGCAACTGAACCCAGACACAGAGACAGAGAGAGACTGGTAGAGAGACAGAGAGACGCAAGGACTGTAGGTGGAGAGTGGTGTGCTAAAGCCGTGGCATTGGGGACCCTGGAGGCAGATGGTCAGGATCTTACGGTGACACAAGGAGGGGTATGTTTTTCTCAAGCCGTTCAGCGGGGAGGCTGGCATGAGGCGGCCGAGCGCGGGGCCACTGCAGCTGGAGTTTGCTGAGTGAGGGCTCAGGATAGTGGCCGGCGGCCTCCCGCGTGGCTGCCACGGGCCGGGCCTGCGGGGCGGGACGCGATCAGGAGCGACAGGGCTACGCGGACATGAGGCTTGTTGGGGAAGAACAGTTTTCCAGGCTTTCTTAATAAAAAAAATCAAATTAACAAAATTGACAAAGCATAAAATGTTGCTCCCACCATGATGGGCTTTTAATTAAAAGTTGGTAATAAAGGTACAAATACATAATTAATACTTACATATTTATAGATGTCATTTGTTGATTTTTCAAAGAATTAAAGACATGAAAACCAAATGAAACTGTGGAGTTTCAAAGAGACATCTCAATACCTTTTGTATTTCGGCCTGGAAAATAGTTCCACTTTAAACCTTCGTAAAGCCACACCTGAAACGCCCGTGACTGAACAGTTCACACACACGTGGAGAAAACGATGTTGCATCCTTCATCGGTACACATGGAAATGGTGTCTCCATTCAAGATGAGGTTTTCTCTGCTTCAGATTTCACCGCTGGGAGATCAGAGGCGAAGCCGGGCTGGCGGGCGTGAAGAAGCTCAGCCCCTGCCCCGGCCCCTCCTGGGCGGCCCTTGGCTGGAGGACCCCCGAGGAGCTGCAGAGCCACCACGGAGGCTGCTTTGCATCCTGGCTGGGAGCAGAGCCTGAGGAGGACTCTGAGCCTTTCGGATCCAAGCAATCCGGCCCAAGGCCACAGAAGGCACACTGCCTGGTCGCTCACAGACTTCGGAGGAGAAACATGAAAAAGGAAGAGAAATGCTCGTCATCCATCAATGCTGATCAGTGACCAAAATTAAACAGTGGTGCCCTCCACATTTTTTGGTGGAGAAATCATGGGAATTTCTTTTTCCCGTTAGTAGCGAGGGTCTGAAAATGGTGCCGGCAGGCTGGCCATGCCAGCAGATTGCACAAACAGTAAACGCCATTGTCCTCAGAAAGAGAAAGGCGTGGAGAAGTGAGTTTGAAGTGGGTAGGAGGGAGGTGTGCCCGAGCCGGTCCTGGCTCCCTTCTGTCCTCCGGCCTGTTTCCAGCACCAGGAGGCCCACGTGGGCTGAAGGATGACACATAGCCTCATGGGAGGGAAAGGAGTGGGAGAAGGTGGGATCGTGGGTCACTAGCCTCCCGTGAGGACTGGCAGGACACCGGACTCTAGTCCCACCAGGATGGGTGTTGGGTACCCGAGGCCTGACGTGCACAGAGCAGG